CTATTTCGCCACAATTCCAGCATCTTATGGTCTTCGGTTTCTTGTATGTGATGCTTTTTATCATATTAACGAGCTGGTCAAGTTTATCTTCATCTCCTTCCTCTTTTACAGTCCTAACTTTACTGTACCCGCCAGAGGCCTGCGTGGCTGACTCGTATTCAAGAGCGGCGGATAAGACATCAACCAGCGTCTTGTGACGAGCTAATCGTAGTGTTCTTTGCATCTCATGATCACGAAGACCATCAATAAACGTTTGAACGGCCAACTTTTCCATCATGTCTTCGGGAGCTGTTGGATAAGCATATCGCACTAATCTGGCGATATCTACTTCATATTCTTGAAGAGCCTCATCTTTCTTTTGTCTTCGATTTTTGAGCTGCGACTGATATACATGCTCCAAGTGTTCGTGGCCATATCGCATATTTAACCTCTTCTTCAGTTGTTCGAAATCATCCGTCTCCTCTACGGCTATGGTCTGGAGCACATCTAAGGCATCTCCTCGAAGAGCGATAGTCAGGTTTACAGCCTTTTCTTTTTCAGACCATCCATTCGCTCTTGCAGCTGATTCGAACTGTTTCATGTAGTTGTTCCATGATGATTTTCCGTCGAAAGTTGGGACTTTGACATGAACGGAACTTCCACTTCCTTCACATTTCGGCCGTGTTTCCAACTTACATTTCGTCTCGTCTTCTTTTGTCTCTATGGTAATTGGATTGTTTACTCTCTCTGTTGTTCCTGTTCCCCCAATCTTCCTTTCCAACTCTTTCCATATCTTCTCTTCGAAGGCCATCATATCGGCAGCAACTTGGTTTTTTAATGAAGACACTCTATCGTCGAGAGCAGACATCTCCGAAGTGACTTTAGAGATTTCCAAGGAGATGTTAGCAGAGACTTTGCTTTCTAGAGAAGAAATCTCGTTAGACACTTTGTCTTCTAAAGAGGCGATGTCGCCGCAAACTTTGGCTACATCAGAGGAAACTTTCGAAATATCGCCATGAACTCTGTTCTCTAATGATGCGATGTCACCAGAAACTTTATTCTCTAATTTTGAAATTGACGCGATGACAGCATCTTCAAATATATAAGTTTCCGGATCTAAACCCTCTTCCTCCAAAGCATTCTTTAGTCGTTGGACTAACTCAGCCTTTTTTCCGGTAGAAGCTAATTCTCTATCCTCAAGATGCCTTCTTAGATTCGTAACTGTGAGCTCGTAAATCGTAGCCATCGTTCACCAATTTCACTTCTTTTCAAAAATTCAAATTAAATTTATCTACAACCCCACTTCTGCACCACTGTTAGGTTTATTGATATTGTTCTAATTTATTTGTCTTTATTCTAATTTATTGTCTATATTCTAATTTATTAAAACTCACGATAACTAATTACTAATTTATTAAATAGCTTATTAAATACAAATTTATTTGTTACGTTTCGTTACATTTAAATATCGCGGTTTCCCGATCTTCTTATGACTAACCCCTCAATGAAATTCTTCCGGTATTTATATGAAACCAGCTTGTAACAGAATGTTTGTAGAAAATACGATGCCGTTCTCGATCTCGACGTAGACACGGCGGCGACTGGTCTCAAAACATGTTCTTTATCGGCTTGTCGCCCCCAGAACATTCGATTGTTGTTTGTCAGGTAGATTTTTGACCTAGAAATTACGAGAATCAATACAAAAGAATTAGTCATAAAATATTTACAGTTCTATATGCCATAACATTTAAAATCGTAACACTATAAATATTTATTTTTATTTTTTTGTTGTTCAAAAATTATTGAAATTAAAAATTTTTGCGCCACTGTTTGACTGGCGATATATTATCAATGTATTCTCCTAATTTTAGATGTATATAAAAATGTAAGTTTGATTAACTACGTTATGAACGTAGTGATCCAGCAGTGGGATCTTAGACTACAAGGTACCTAAGTCCATATATAAGATTATATACGACTCATATATAATAACAAATTCTTTGTAAAAACTATAAACCGACTTTACTTAGTAACAAGTCAATTACACAAAGCATAAATTACAATATATGAGGGGGTCAGTCGTAAAAGGGTTTAAGTGCAGTTTTGATAGTTCTGAGATAATCAGCGTCAAAGTTGTTTGAGTTTTATAAATTCTAGGATTGATTAAACTAATATTATATATATATATATATATATATATATATATATATATATATATATATTGTATAATGTTCTATAAAATGATAAAAATATAAGGGTATATCATTACTTTTATTACATTCTTTTTTTCAATTATTGAAAAAATGTACTTGAATCGGGACATGGTGTTTATAAATGTTACTGGTAAAACGGTTCAAGTGCAGATGTTAGCTATTACTAATCATTTTTTAAGTATTCAACTAAATGTATTTTGTAAACTTTCAAGTACAATATCATTCGTAATCCGACTCTAAGAAAATATCTTCTTCGCCATCATTCCCGTCGGCGTCGTCTCTGCTGGCAGCTGATTTTGCTGATTCCAATTTTGCATATGCCGTTGATGTTCCAGCATGTTTCAAATTTCGGTAAAAGGATTAGTGACATAAGAGAATGTAGTCCAAGAGGCTTAGCAGATTTTTATATTTGGCATCCTTAATTGGTAGCGTCGTGTCATTAATATGGTTCAATTTGGAGAGCTGAAAAGATGGACGTCCACTCTGTACTTTTCCCATAGTACACATCCAAAACTCAATATCCTGGTTTAAAGTATGCTTGTACTTCAAAGCCAGTTTTTCAGTCTTAAAATATGCCAACCAAGAAATACGGCGCCATTGTATTCTCTGACCAATGGAATCCTTTTTAGGATCTTTTATTATTTCATGTAGGATCGCAAACGAGTAAAAATCTTCTGTCGTCATGTTGTAAAGCACAAACTTTGAGGATGTATTTTTTATAACACGTTCCCAATCTGCTGGAGCAAAAACTTGAGGAATTTGTCGTTTTTTCTTTTCAATTAAACCAAAACTGCGGTCACACTCCATATAGGTGTGACCAGGTTCCAGAAACTTGTGATGGATCTCGATTATATGAGTAGCTTGAACAATGAAGGAGAACAACTGTTTCATTCCATAAAAACATGTGAGTTTGTCCAGTAAGTAAGTTGTATATACAAAAATTGTACGTCCATATAGTCTATATGGGCGTACAATTTTTGTACGTCCAATAGACCACCAATACTCCAATTCACCAATACTAGTGGTGTTGTCAATGTCTGTTGCAAATCGGCACAAATAACGACAGTATTCTCAATATTTTTGTGTTTTCAAATACCTAATTTTTTAGAATTGTTTGGTTTCTCAGTTTTTCTCTGATGTAATTCTAAATCCCGTTTAGCGTTTGAAATGGTTTCATCATTTTCATTATATTTTATCAAGTTTTGAAAATTGTCACAGCGACTACATGTATCTATATATATGACTATAAGGCTTGTAACATTTCAAATTGAACTCTGTGTTGAAGATAAATCAATAATATGATTCTTTCACAAGTTCTTCAAGTTGTTCATTACAAAATTTCTATATATATATATATATATATATATATATATATATATATATATATTATACACCTTACTAATATTCAAATCGCGAGGAAGATATTTAGTATTGAGATTGTCTTTTCTCGAATAATGGCTCTGATACTTTGGAAACATCTTAATGTGGTAAATCGCCATATTTTTGGATGATTGTTTAATTTTGATTTGGGGTTCCTTCTGTTCTCATTTATCAGGTTCACTCATTCCGAAGTCTGATATTTTTGAACAAACAACCTGAAATCTGCACACAGAAATGTCAAAACTATTTAAGAAAAACGTTTTGCAGGCACGTTTTTTGATCAAAGTTATTATTGTGCTCTAGTTTTTCTTTTTAGAAGCTTCTTCGTTGAGTCGTGCTTGGCCAACCTTTGTTATACAGGCGGGCAGAAACGCTGTTTGCAGATCGTATGAAGGTAATCCATAAAATGTTCTCGTTGGAATTGAATCGAAATATATGGTTATAGACTTTCAGTTCTCTGGCTTTCTGTAGTTTATTTTTTGTCCGACATAGGCTTTCCTTTCGGTTCACATTTTCTTTACTATGTTGTCTATCCAAATTTTGGGGTCTCGCTTATGTTTTATTGTACATATTACTCCTCTGTTTGAGGAGTAATATGTAAATCGTTATTGTTTCGCTTGTTCTTCTTTATCCGGTATATAATCCGAGTCGGTTTGGAAAGGATCGGATTCTTCTGCAACAAATACGAAATATTCAATTTGATAGAAAACCGTAGTGCTGGTGCGTGGCAGTAGCGGATCTAGACCTTAGGATGCGAAATTTGCCTTAGAGGGGGAACTTTCAATGAAACATCAATCGAAAGACATAAAAGAATATATCAAAATTACATAAAAGATATAAATAATACCTTATATGCATTAAGTTCCCTTAATTTTTATTTTTATGAACATTTTATTGCTTACATTTTTGTTTTCAACTTACAACAAAATATAACCTATATTCGAAAACTAAATTTTACCCTGTTAAGTAATTTGATTTAAAATTTACTTTCCATCAGTCACCCGGCTGTTATCCAAAGTATAACTACAACTTACGTTGCATATTACTTAGTTAGTCTTTAAAATTCGACACAAATTTAATATTTTTATTACTTGAAAATAATCTTGTGTTTTACATGTGCTTTTACAGAATACTAAAAATAGTTTGGTGGTAAAACGGTTCAATCGTACATAAACCTGTTTACTACCAATGCAAACTGCAATTGTTTTCATTAAATAAAATGTAATGGCGATAGATAACGACAGTAGGGTGAGATATGCTTGAATCATTTTACCACCAAGTTATAGGTAATACCATTTAAGTATGCGAATCTGTACTTAAACCATATTTTAAAAAAGTGCACTTAAACCCTTTTACTTCTAACCCCCTTTATACAATCTACAAGAAGCCAACTGTATGCATTATGCCAAAGAAATATATTTATTTCAGGTTCGAGTTGTGGTGCAGCAATAGCCGCTACAGTTAAAGCGGCGAAAAATCTAGAAGCAGGTAAAAAAGTGGTGGTGATATTGCCAGATAGTATCAGAAATTATATAACGAAATTTGCCTCTGATCAGTGGATGGAAGCTAGAGATCTAATGACGCCCGTCAACACTATGAACCATTGGTATGTATGTATAGTTGTAACCTAGACGTATTATCAATCCGTTATTATTTAAAGCATGTGTAATAAGTATGTTTCTTAATTACCAACTTCCATTTGAGTCGGTCCTTTCAGAAACAACACAAGTCAGAAATTGTAGATTTGAGGTATTAAAACAAAACTATTTCTGCGATTATGTGACATTCGAACATTTAAACGATCAAAAACATTGAGCACATCTTCATTTCGTATACGCCAATTTTTAATACGACGAATTCCGAGAATATTTTCAATAACAGCCTTCAGACAATATTAACGATTTTAACTCTTAACTTTTGTTTATAATGTTAATAAATTTTAGGTGGTGGGATAAAAATGTTTTGGAGCTAGATCTGGCGACTTTACACGTAGCTACTGAGAGTATGACTTGCGAAAGGATTCTAAATATGATGAAAATAGCGGGGATAGATCAAACACCTGTCGTTGATAGTGCAGGGTAAGTTGTTTGCTTCTTTTTGGACTAATAAATTTGCTTTATTTATTACATGCATATAAGGTTGTGTTCTACAAAAAGCAGCAATTCGAATTATTGATTCAGCAGAATACCATAATTGCTGTAAATTTTATTCAAACACTATGGTATTCTCCTATTAGCTTTACTGTAAATATTTGAAAATTTATAAACGATTCATAATCATTTGCAAGAAGTCAAAACATATGCTGATCAATATCAGTATTCTTCTTGTAGTGCCTATCCGTTTCGGATGTTGGCGACCATCATGGAAATCTGCATTTTGCAAATTACTGCTCTGAAAAGATTTGTGGTTGTGTTGAACCACAAACGTAGATTTTTTAGCCAGGAAATCCTTCGCTTTTCTGGTCCTCGTTTTTCTTGTAGAATTAATTGCAGCTACCCATATATTTCGCTGTTCCTCATGATGTGACATTACGAAAGTAAACGACCAAGAGGAAGACCACAGATGAGATGAGTTGATGACATTAAAAGAATAGCCGGAACAAATTGGAAATATGTTGCTCAGGATAGAGACCGATGGAAGGAGTTGGGAGAGGCCTATGTCCAAACATGGACGACAGAAGGCTAACAAGAATAAAATTTTGATTGATTTTATTGTGGTTTCCAACTCTTTTCCTTTTTGCATTCTTAATAAAATGTTCTGGTTAGTAACGTAGTCGGTATAGGATACCTTAAGGATATGACGATAAAGCCATATTTCGAAAGCCTCAATTTCCTTGCAAGTAAGGTCTGTAAGACTCCACGACTCAACTCGGTACAACAGTATAGGAAAGATATAACATCGTAGTAACCTGATTTTTATGGGTACTGATAAATCATGGCATTTGAATAGCTTAGGCATTTTTTGAAATGCAGATCTTGCTTTCTCTATCCTACATTATATTTCTAGGGAATGGTCCCAATTTTCATTTTTGTTCGTACCAAGTTAGGTGTATATTTTTACTCTTTCTATTGGTTGACCATTCACACTGATTCTTTCAATTTGCAGTTCCTTCTTAGAGATCATTATACATTTTGTTTTCTTAATGTTTAGTGAAAGTTCATATATCTGACTCACTTCTGTGATTCTATTCATTAACTCCAGGAGGTATTCATAACTTTATATTACTTTTATAATAAATATCAGTATCATACAAGGAATAAAAGTAATATCAGTATACAATATTCCACCCTCGGTATCACACAGCTTCTTCTGAAAGTGGAGTCTCCCAATCGGAGGGTGGATGTCAACATTACTATCTTTGCTCTATATACCGTTGCTCTCAATAAATCAGTCCCATACATTTTTCAACCATGACACTCTCTTTCTTTCCATACTCCTTACTCCTCTTATATTTCCATTTATTATCAATCTTAGCATTTCATATCGCTGTACCCACATTACGTGTGCTCCATAACTTCCTTATTTTTATTTGTTTATTATTTCGTATATTTTATTCGTTTTTTATGTGTTCATGCTATTCTAAGCACACACACACGCACACACACACGCACACACACACACACACACACACACACACACACACACACACACACACACACACACACAAACGCGCGTACACACACACGCGCGCGCGCACACACACAACACACACACACACACGCACACACAAGTACACACACGCACACTCACACCACACACACGCACACTCACACCACACACTCACACACCAAAACCGTCTGTTGCCATCTTTACTACTCTAATTGTTGTCATTCTATTGTGATCATTCTATGCTACTCTTCTATTTGTTACCCACTCCTTAATGTTCTCTACTTTACATCTACGTTGTATATCTGTGCTTCTAGCTCCTTCTAAGCATCCTTCTGTAATACCTATATTTCAAATGACTATAGATTATTGTAAACAGTAGTCTATAATATGTTATAATTCTTTTTTAAACCTAAACAAAAATTTTGATATTAAGGTATTGAATTTTAAACAATTTGATAGAATTGTAAAAAGTTTCCTGTTAGAACATTGTTTCTGTAGTATACAGAATTTTTTATGTTTGAGCGCCTAGTGTTGGCGGTTTTATGAAGAGTATTATTTCTTATACCTTTCTGATAGTGCATTTTATTTTTATTGTTTTTATTTGTATACAAATTATGTATTATGTATTATAATACATTATATATTACATTATGTATTCGGCGAGAAGGACAAAAATATTAATTATTGAGTAAAATTAAAGAATAATGTATTGGACTTTTTCGTTATACTGGACTTATTAAATTTCTAATATTAAAAAAAACTTGATTTTTAAGGATCTGTGGCTTTTCGAAGAATGAGTTAAACATTTCGCTCCTTTAAAAAAGAAGGCATTAGAAATTTAAGTACCATTCCTTAGTTTTACATAATAATTAATCTGAATATTCAAATTAACTGCCTTGTGAACTCACCTGTCATCCGATCTGTTCTTTGATTCCTGTGCTCAACTATAACAGCTGATTATAACCAGACATATTGAGACAAAACATACTGAGTTTGCTTTGTGCGCACCTGTTCATTTTTCTTAAATTTTCAGAAGTATGGTGGGGATGTTGACGTTACAGAATATGATGCAGGGCCTACTTAGAGGTACTGTAAAATCTAATGGAACGGTGGAACGATGTGTGGTACGAATTTATCCGAAAGTACAAAAAACTGCAAGCGTCGGTCTTATCTCAAGAATTTTGGAAAAAGAATCTTATGTTGTAGTCCTCGATTCCAAAGGTAAGTAAACTATTTAAAATATTTTGGTAAAAGAAATTTGTAAATTATTTAGAATATTTTGGTATAAGAAATGTATATCCCTTTTTTGAATAATATGATATTTGAAGATTCTCTTCTGTGAATAATTGGGCCATTACTAGTTTTTTTTTTGTTATTTTTAATGTCACTATTTTTCTTCATTTCCTTACATTTCACAGTATTATATCTTCGATGCAACCCTTGATCTTCTGTCTACGTTAATTCAGTCGATACTCTGTTTTTTTATGGATGGTGATTCAATAAGTTTTGTCCTTCGATAAGAGAAGGCATTATTAACTGAGTTGATATATCTTTCAAAGGGTAGTATTACTATTTATGGAGCATCAACACGCAATCCTGACAAAAGTACAGAATCTAGTTCTGGAAAATCGTCGATTAACCGAAGGGTGAAGGATAAAGAGAGTGTTATCATGTCAATATTGTTTGTATTGTCAATTATACATTATTGCTATGGGCGATGGATTTAATAACTTTTTTCTATATTTTCAGGAGCTGTCGAAAAGCCCTTGGGAATTGTAACTGCTATGGATTTACTACAATACATTCAGCAGAAATAAACAATGAACAAACAACATTTCTGAGTTAATTTTATATCTCTTTACACATCAATTATTTTAATCTTCAAACATTTTTTGAAGAAGTCAGTTGATATATAAATGGAAATTCAAAACAAAAGACTAAATAAAAAAAAATAAGACTGTTCAGTCATTAAGAGCTCAGTGAACAATTAGTTTTTTTAGTCCGTTTTTAGTAATCGACTCAACTTTTTAATCTTATATTTATCTGTTTCTTGGCTTGTTTCTGCTTCTTTATTTTTAATCTTGTAACTTTTTACTAATAGAATATAAAAGTGGAGAGAAAAAAAAATACTAGAAATTTGTCATGTCAACTGTCATTTATATGAGACAACTGTATCGTATGACCACAGAATACATCACTGTATTCTGTGGTATGACGTTTAATCTCACTTTCTTGTTGCTCTCTATTATTTTGTAAACGTTTTGAATATCGTTTTGAAACGTTTTAATGATAATTTTGTATGATCTGAAGAACTGACGATTTTGTTTGAAAAATACTTAAGCTGTACTTATCTTTTGTTGCAAAATTTAAAAGTTTGTTTTTGTATTTTTATTTTAGAATTAAAACGTTGTTGTGAATGTTGTATTTTATTTTTTGCAAATAAGGTCTATTTAAGAACTCAAAGAAAATTGTTGAATTAAGTTGCCTGCCTGGTTGATCTGATTGATCAAAACAGGGTCAAATTTACATAAGGAAAATATTCTTAAATTGCAATAATTACTAAAGTTACTCTAAAAGCTCAGCACTAAAAGTTACAAACTCGCTCTTGAGTAATGACTTGATAAACAAGAATATTTAATTTGTATTTTTGGTAACTTTATTACATATAAGATTCCTGCTTTAAAAACATATTATTTGTCTCCCGAAAACTTACGAAGTATCTATTGACCAACAAAAAGTTAACATAGAAAAAAAAATTAAGGTCTTCAGCAAATTTGTTAAGTGCAAATCATCCTTTTAAAAATGTATTTATTTGTTTTAAGTAGAGCATAGACATTAAAGAGGTCTTACACCTATGATCAGTTTCTTAAAACTAATTATAAAATCATACATATATAATTATAGGTTGCACTAGTAATAGAAAGGTTGAATTTAAGAAATGAAATTGTAATTCTATATTTAAATTTCACTATTTGTATAGATATAAAACTTCAAGTTGCAAACTGTTAGAAAATATAATCTTATATTTTGGTATTTTAATACATTTTAACGCATACTGCGGGATAATTTGAGCAATTTTAATCTTGAACGTGATGTTCAATGTATTCGCGAGAAACCGCAAAGTGGGCGACGCCTGGTGGTAGATTTCAAAAGCATCCACTTCGGTAAAACCTTGAAATTGTCATTATTTTGTATACACATTAGCGACCGGTTTATATTGTAATTAACAATGACTTCGACTTCAAAAAAACTATTGTATTGTTCCTCAATGTTCATTCTATTATAATTCACAAAAAAAATCCATACATAAGTTTCCGAGAATATGAGAAAAGTTTGGCAATGCATTTTGCGAATTGGCAAACCTATAACCATGTACATGACTGTGTGCAGTTTACATTTTACTGAAAACGATTACTTTCCAAGTGTTGACTAAAATGTTATTTATATTTTAATATATTTATACTTAATTTACTTTATAGTAAAACCTGAAACTAAATTAAGAAGACTGAAGAAAAATGCTGTTCCATCAGCTAAATTGCCCCAACGGTCTCATGAAGTTATTAGTAGAAAACGTAAGGCGTAATTTACAAAATATAACGTGGCCAGCTCCAAAAACTGCCTCACCCTCAACTTATGATCTCTGCCGATCTTTCAACCATATAAATAATTAAAATAATGTAAATTTGACTTCCCGTGTGTCAGACATACTGTAGAAAAACAAACATTTGGCTATCGCGAATAACAGTGTACTCGTAGCAAAAAAAAAATTATTACATATTGTGTAGTGGTTACAGAGACAGAAGAAATTAAAAGCAAATACATACATTAATTTGATTATATTTTACTATATCTACCTTTTTACACTGGTGGCTAATTCATAATTTAAATAATAATAATGATAATAAAACATCTTGAAGTTTAGTTGAAGTTTATTATTTTAATAACTTTCATTTTCAAAAGTTTTTTAAAAGTGTTTAGACAAATAAATAATCGATTAGTCAACACATTTCTGATGAAAACTTATTTGCAAAAAATGGTCTTTTTCGACAAAAAGTCTGCTTTATACTTTAAATTCTCAAAAATAAAATTTCTTGGGTGCATTATCTTTTCTGACGTCTTTGTCCAGGTCTCCATAGCTAGACAGTGTAATTCCCAGGTATTTTATTTCCATTACTTGTTCAATACCATCAATTCACCATTGATGCCATCAATTTCTGTTTTACATCTGGTTGGTCCTTTGCTGACTACTATTGTTTTAGTTTTCTGAGGTGAGATTGTCATATTAAATTCTTTTGTTCTTATGTTAAATCTGTGGACCAGTCTTTGCAGACTATTTTCAGCTTGGGCTATCAATATTGGGTCGTCTGCGTAATGGAGTATTTTGATTTTTCTGTTTCCCATTCTGGGACGTCTTCTTTTGTTAACGTTTTTGATGATTTTATCCATGATCAAAGTGAAGATCATGGTGCTTAATGAATCTCCTTGTCTTATTTAGCTGCATATTTATATAGGTTCTGTAAGTTGTCCATCTATTCTGACTCCCATTTTTTTGTTTTGGTAGATGTTTTCGATAGTTTTTATAATATTTAGGGGAGCTTCCCTATTATACACAAGATGAATTACATCTTTGAGTCTTACTCTGTTACACGCTTTCTTTAGATCAATCAGACACATAAATGCTGGTCTATTATACTTTTGTAATTTCTCCGTATTTTTTTATAACGAATATTGCATCTATACATGATCTTCCACTACGAAAACCCTGTTTCTTCTGCTAAACTTATCCTCTGATTTATTAGCACTTTTAAAATTTTAGTTGTTTTGTAAAAGTTTTAGTGTAGTATTTAAAAAATTTATACCTCTTTAGTTTTCTGGCTGTTTGTGATATAGTTTTTTTGAATAGTAGAATTAGTTCGCTGGTTCTCCATTCTTCCGGTATTTTATTGTGTTTTATAATTTTATTAATTAATTAATGTTGTTAATTGTTCTGTCATTGCTGCTTCACAGTATTTCAGTAACTCGTTTGGTATCCCGTCTTTATCTGTTGCTTTTCTGTTATTAATTTAATGATGTTTAATAAAAAGTTTAGAAATGGTTGGAAACCGTACATAAAGAAACTAAAATGTCACAATTATTTTATTAAGTATTTTTATTTGAAAATAAATATATATATATATATATATATATATATATATATACTATAATATATATATATATATATATATATATATATATATATGTACATATATATATATATATATATATATATATATATATATATATATATATATATATATAATATTTACCAAAACCCTAACTTAATCCCGTAATCGCGGACGTCTCAAAAACGGTCACTCTAATAGACATAGGGTCAAGCTAAACACCACTATTTAAATTGACAAAATGTTATAGTTTACTCCGAAGTATTTTTTAACAAAAATTAAAAGTGATTTTAGTACTTTGTATATCTACTCTACCTGAACATAAACTATTATCCTTAGCATGGTAGTATTTGCTTCAGAAAAAAAAAAATTATTTAACAAGTAGCTGAAATAAGTTTATGTTAAATAACATTATGCAAGAATACTATTAATATTAATATAAAAAAAATGTAATAAAATATTCAAAACTATGAACAACGGGTTAATGACACATACACTTCATCTAATTTATATAACGATTCACGTCATCGGCGTCATAGCCTGTGACGTCACATGATACCAACACGAAATATTTATGCGGTAGGTGTGTTCTTTTTTAGAATCACTTTGCCGAGTACACTGGCATTACAGCCACTAGACATATTTTATTATATACGCGTAGAAATAATATTTAAAAATTTCTATTAATGTTAACTCAAAGAAATACACAATAATATGTTTCATTTAATTTGTATAAATGCATTATAAAGCGTTTTTATCAAGAACATTTGTTCGGAACACACTGTAACTGTAATCGAACGAAGGTAAAATTTTGGCATAAACACTTACTTGACAGTTGCGGTGTTGACACTTTTTGTACTTTAATATTTTGAATTTTAAAGTGTATATCTCTTGTTTTATATTTTTACCTATTTAATAAAATCTGTGCTTTCTAGAACAAAATTAGTGTGTTTTATTTCAAAAATGTCACGTAAGAATTTAAATAGTAATTGTAAAGAGATGGTAATACTTTTGCAATAATTATGTGATCTATTTGATTTAAAATGGAGTCAAGATTTTTTTTATAATTTGGCAACTATGTCAACTTCGATCTCTGACGTAGATCATGACGTAAGTCGTTATCTAAATTAGATGAAGTATATATTTATTTTATAAAGACCGCTTTACAGCTTGCAAGAAAACTTGCTGCAACTTCTTGCATGACTAACTTTCATGCAATTTATTGCAGGGTCTTTATGTGCGACTTTACAGCTTGCAATTAATGTTGACATTTTTACTCTTAACCTAACTTATTTATGATTTTTTTTAATTACTTGTTTATTTAAAACACTTTAGTCGATTTAGTTTGATAGATAGATTGAATTAATTTCGATAGATAGATTTAGAATTAATTTCGATAGATTTAGATTAGAAATTAGAATGATATATTTAGAATTAATTTCAATAGATAGATTGATTTAGATAGATAGTAAATTTCGTAATGCCAAGACTATGCAAGACATTGTTGGTACTTCGGGCAGAAGATAGTTCAATTTTTGATGATACTCTAACGTATTAATTAAAAATATTAAAATTAGAAAAAGCCGATAATCTACAAATCAAGCCAAGCTAAATACAAATGTGTGGGAAAGGAAATAATAAACAAAACAGGAAAC